ATATGATTATCTAATAATTTTCTTGACATCCGTGTATGATAGAGATCGAAGATATTTATAGAAACTAAGGGGATTCCCGCGTACACCCACTCAAACCTTTCAACTATACCATTATTGATTAAAGCTTCAGTATTTTATAGTCTTGCCCATTCTCAGTTTCTTTATGTCACTTAGATAATTCTGTATCTAACTATAGTAAAAAAATAGAGCAAAGTAACATAGTATGCAAACTAAAATAACCTTTATTCCTCGCTTGAATGAGTAGATTAACAATGAAATTTATTTTCAATAAACACACGTGTTTTTCATGCGATGGGCTGATGCAATTCGTACTAGTGTATACCTAACGATTTCATGTTATACAGAACTCACAACGGACGTGTRTTTATAAAAAAACGTCGTTTAGGAAACTTGATAGCTATTATCAACGTTAAGGTTTCGCAAAAATACTCTTCACATTGCACATAGTCCCACCCACTATTCCTCCCACGCTCKACGGACGAATTGACGATTAAGCTTTCTTGCTCACGAAAGATTGTTTACTCTACTCGCGTTTGAATCACCTGCCTGCTGCACGAGACAGTCCAAAAATAACAACAAATGCAGATGTGAATTTTATGTGAAATTTGTGTACACTATTAACAAAACATTTTCCTAATATTCGRAAACTGACTTAAAAAGAATTACGTTCGATTCTTGTTAGGAAAATAGGGATTCTACCGAGGAATTAATTCCTTTAAAAAATGGACCGATATTTAGRATRTTGTTTTCGACTGCCTTTGTTTTGAAATAGTAACAAAAGCAGCTGTAAATATGTCAGTTATGTAATTGTTYCGAATTCACATGATAAGGATACAACTTCACGTGAACTATTGCATTTTATGTCGTAAGATAGTTCTTTTTCACCAATATTGATTAAAATCGCAAAAATGATTGAAYGCAACCCTTAAAATGACCCTTTCTTATGTAATCTGCTCTAAGGTGTCTGAATTTTTCCATTGATAGGATGCAAAAACTAAGAGTTTTAGTTATAAAACTACGCCTTTATGGTGCAAACCTTAAAGAGATTAAGATCCTGATGAACCCCATACTTCATGATCTGTTTTAAAACTAGTGGGGAACGTTAATCACGAGTGAATGAAGATGTAGTTAATGTATCTTTTTTATTTTTACATTAGGACAGGAAATACCATCATTATTAATTTARATCGAGGCATGTCCTCTAGTATGCTCTACACTGAGTGTGATTTTACCGCTTTGTTAAGTTGAAATGATCTTCCTGTGCCACACCCAAAGCARCCCTATTTTTCCCCATAAAAGCGAGGGCTGAGACAAGTTCAGAGCATCAGTCCACAAACTGCGAAGCTACGAATCAGAAAGTGAGAAAACTACGAAAAATCTTAGGCAAGCTGACAAGATGAAGATTTCGCAAGTAAGCTGAAAACATCGCAAATTTTTGAATTACACTTGTGTGATTTCATATATTTTTTTCATATTTATCATATTTTTTCCTTTTCTTGTCTTTAGATTTTGCTTCCAAGCTTCACCATATTTTTCCAACTACAACTRTTCTTGCTTCTATCATCCACGCAGCTAAATGGACAGCCAATTAGAGTGAAGATTGGMGGTACTCGTTTACCTGCTTCAAACAGCAAAAGCGTTAAACTCATATCAAGAAAACACACACTCTTCGTTAGTATCGATCAAAGTGGAAAGGTCTCCGCCGTTGTTAACTGCAAGAATAACTACAGTAAGTAAAACATATAATTCTGTAAGTAGAAAAGTTTGAGATCTATCGCGACATCGTGCAATTGCTTTACTGATTTGATTCATCATAACATGCATAACCTAGTGAAATTGAGTTTTTTCTTTATTTTCGTAAAAATTTTAGTACTCCATTATTCTATTTCTATTTAGAATCTAATTTGACTATTGCACCACGCTYGATTACGTGACTAGAATTTATGCCACGGGTTTAATAATGTCTTCAGCATATAGAGCAGAAAGGACTATACCACAAAGTTGCACGGTCGAATACACATATTTGATCCATGAAGTAATGCAAGAGTTATTTTAGTGTTAAATTGAAATCATGTTCCTTCAAAAGTTCAAGAAGTATTCGCAAATCTTTAGAAAACATAAATTAGAATGTATACTTCATTGAAAATCACATAGAACTAGCTGTATTATTGACGCACGTGGCTGTCAGATTCAATTTTTTCTATTTTAAATGCACGTAACTTCCGTTTCGGAAWTTATTTGAATGGCATATTGATTATGTTTTGAATATTTATTGCGACGTTTGCTTTGTGATCTGCTTGGCCACAAAGTCATTAAGACCTTGATCACAAGCGTCTTACTATACCACCATGGGTCGTAATGATTCGATTTAGCACAGTGTCTAACAATGGACGTCCGTCTAGGGTGTTCTTATTTTACTTGTGATCTAAACCAGTTCCATCATACTTAAATGGTTAACAGAKTATATGATAAAAGGAAAAATGTAGGAAGTACTTAAACTATACAGTTTCAACAGTCCGTACTTGCAAAATGAATTGGCCAGCGCAAGGAACTGAGTAARWTWRCACAGTGAACCGGATTAAATTTCAAAAATCTCTCCTTAAATAAAATGAAATATGCGAGGAAAAAACAGGCTAAAAAGAGCAACAGGACGCGTACTAGACCTACTTAAAATATAAATAGTTTCAAGGTTAATCGCATTCAATTTTCACAATTTTGCTTGTAATATAGTACAAATTACCAGCCGGAATGACTTCCGATCATTATAATTTATATCTTCCTACGTCATCGGGAATTAATCTAATTACTAACCCTACTTTTGATTGTAAACCTGCTGATCGCCTGCTCAGACTAGTTCTGCGTTTGTGATTAAGTGAGTCACCATCTTTCTATCTGCTGTCTTCATTCGGGCAAGTCTACTGAGCACCGAGTTTTAAGAAATGGTGAAAACAGCCAGTTTTGATATCCTATTGTCGACTTTGTTTTTTCATAATGCGGACCTAAATTAAATGTTTAACTAAATTAGTTTAATGCACAGTATAGCGTGTAAAAACTGGCTGTTAAAATGAGCAGTTTATAAAACAATAATCTTAAAAAMAGTTCATAACAAAAGAATGTTAAAACACAACAATAAAAGAGGAACACCGGACGGACCTTTTAAGCTTGTTCGTCAACCCCTCCCCCCGCCCMTCCCCCGAAAAGGAGCTTGGGTTGGGAAGTGGAAAGTAATCATGTCAAATCAAGTAGAAGAAAGAAAGATGAGATTGAGAATAAAGAGTTTTACTTTCACAAATGGAGAATGGAAAGGAGTTGTGGGTGCTAATCGCCCTTGAGTGGGAAGGAAGAAGGGCTCCGGTATCTGACCCTCACTCTACAGACTCTTTAAAATAGGCATGCTGCGAATATAAATATAGCCAACTGATCAATTCTGATAGCGGGGCACAGTAGGAAAGAAATTATTATAGCTCATTTTTTTTCCTGAGAGGAAAAAAATAGCTTCGTAGAAATATAACACTCAAGAGTAAGTGAAAACGTAAGAGACTAAGGATATTTTCAAAACCAAACTCTTTCCTGCTTTAAGAATGCCAACCGTTCAAAAAAATTACTATCATATCAAAATATTTTAAAGACGCGTTCCAAATGTAAACATTTTAGAAAACGCGTTTTGAAATCCAGAATCTTTTTTGTGCAAACGTCCAAAAATCACGAGGTTTAACATGTTTATTTTTGTTGTGTGTAGCTACCGGGGAAGAAAATAGGAACGGGATCTACAAATTTGAAAAAGTCGGTGCTCTCACTATAACCATTAACATGTATGTGTTTTTTTTCTATCGTAGCTGACCTTGAAATGAGTACAGTAGGCGTTGGTGGTTTAGTGACGATAAAAGGGGTTCAATCTGGACGGTTTCTTGCCATGAACAGCGCTGGGCAAATCTACTCAACAGTAAGTGCTATTAGAGTTTTAGCATGCATGCTGCTCTTGCGAGCCACTCACTGGTTCATGCTGGTCAGTGGATTATAAGTGATTTTTAATTTCGTTGATCAAAATATACGATTTCAAGCTTTTTACTATGTGCAAATAAGAGCATAAATTAGTTTCTCTTTTCAAATCAGTAACTGATTTCTGTTTTTTWTATATAGAAAAAAGTGACAGATGAAACAGTCTTTAAAAATACACAATTGACCAATGGATGGGAAACGTTCGCCTCGGAAAAGTACTATATATCACGCTATTACGATGCTTTCTTAGCTATAACAAGAGCCGGAAAGACAAAGAATGCCAAGAAAACCAACCAAAACAACAAAGCATCCCAGTTTCTCGTAATAACTTCGTCTACCTGCCAAAAGTGAAATGGTTATGGTAGCTAGGCTTTTAAATATATTTAATGTGTGYACCATGTTTATCGGTAACTTTAAACTATGATTGCATTTGAAAATAACACGGTATAAGATGCGAGGAATTATAAAATATGATGGAGCTTTATTATTGCATTTGTGTAACATAGTAGTTAAAGCATGACTATGCAACACGGTTGCATTTGTGTATCATAAAAACATTTTACAATTCAAAGAAATTGGACTAATTTTTGATAATTTGTTCAAAAAGAGAATTATACACTTTCAAGACAAAGCTGATGTTTATTAGGGACGCATGCGCAAATACCGAGATGCGATAAGCGCAAAGCTTTCCTCGCATGTTTCAGCGTCTGGACGAGGAAGACTGGATTTCCACAGCCTAAGCACAAATATCAATAATACTATAGGTTAATATTGTATCAATATATATTTAGTTTTTTTGTGTTCAAAACATTTTGTAACCATTATATGGTAAACTGACCTATTCAGAAATAAACTGAATTTTGTTGATACTATGTGAATGAGTGAGTGAAACATTTGCATGATTTGTCCACATCCAATAGCTCTCAGATTGCTCACAAAACATTTGAGTTAAAAGACCCTTTTAGATATAGTTTTTGAAATGCGAGGACAAGGCGGTCGGCATTGAAAATCATGACTGATGACCGAATTTCAAAAATAACCCGAGTCTGAGCGTTTGCGGCTTGCTGACTAGCCACACCCTTTTTTCATTACTTCAATGGAAGACTTCTTCAAACAAGACGCTTGTCAGCGTGCACTCGGGGTTCTTTTTAGTGTAGTCTCTTGGTTTAATGATACATATAGAATATGTAGTTTCATTTATTCTTGCCGTGACAAAAAAATATAATAAATTCTCAGTCCAGTTGATAGCATAATAATTAAGACTTGTATAATTTTGACTTGATAAATTTACCGCAATTATTGCAAAGAATAATAAAAACTATAATCATCAAATATAAAGTAAAACTAAAAATCCTTCCTTGGATTGAAAATAGTAAAAAAAGAAAATGTATTAATATTATTATTGTTGACCAAGAATTGTCCTCGCTTACTTTGACAGACATTTGGTCCCGGATTTGGTCTAACGCAAATGCCATTCGCTGATCCTTTGTTTGCAATCCTTCGTTATTTTACCTGTGCAGTTTTGTTCAACCGGCACTTGAGTCTATTGTTCTTTTATAGTAGTTAGAGCTTTGAACATCAGTAGCTTTTAAGATAGAAGACCTGTAGTTTATGATTGGCTTTGGTCGGCTTTGGATATAGATTAAATGGCTTGTGTATCATAACTAAGTCACAATAAGCTTGATAAATTCGCGGTACTTTTCAAAAAGCCCATTCCGAAAACGGTCGACATCTTTTAATGTGGCTATACCGCGTGTGGACTTGTGAGCGTATTTTTTTTTTTTTGAAGAAGAAGAAGAAGAAATACCATAAGTCCATGCACTTGACGTATGGGACGAGACAAGACAGGCTAGGAACGCCTGGCTAGTCTGGCCGCGATTTGGCGATGAATGCAAAAAATAACGCCGAAATTAATACTCGGCGTTCCACAGGAACCCCGAGTAATAAATTCAAGACAGTCGTTGACTGCATGTGGCTAGCTGTTAGATCTTTTGAAAATGTGAAGGAAAAAGTAAATTTATTATAACGGTAGAGTAAAAAAAAAGATGGATATAGATGGAATCAAAAATCGAAGAAAAATAAACGAGACATGATAACTCAATTCCGAGGGATTTTCATCGCTTAACTACCKTTGACTATTAGACTCTTCCAGACGAATATAGTTGAGAAAACTGGGTCACTTGGCACTAAATCAACTGAGCCTTACACAGAAAGCAATGGTGACGTAATTTCGGATTGCATRTGCTGTTCACACCCACTCAACGGAACTCAACACGATAGCTACGTGGCTAGATTTCGGCTAGATTTGACTCTTTCAGAGGCAGCTAGACACAATGATAAAAAAATTCGATTTGATTTTTAAGAGAAATATACGTTCCAACGTGTTTCCAATCTTTTAAAGATCGAAAGACTTAATTTTCATAAAGTTATAGTGCTTACAAGGAGGCAATTCCGGGAGAAAGACCCTTAGGAATAAATTCGGAAAAATTAATTTCCGACCTCGCTGGGATTCGATCCCACGACCTTCGGATTTGTACACCGATGCTAAGCACTATAACTTTCTTTCATTTCTATATTTGTAGGTATATGAATACACAACTCAAAATCCTGGAATAGTTCTTGAAATTCAAAACCTGAAGTAGTAGTGAAGTAGGCGGCTTGAATCTTGTTCCGGGACTTTTATAGCGGAACGTGAAGTAGGTCTATAGTCGAATTAAAGTTCAAAACCTGTTCCGGGTCTACCATAGAATTCAATACCGCATTAAACAATGGGAAAAGGGTGTGGTTAGTTTGTAAGTATTATCTCCTTGGTATCTGGATATATCAATACYAATATCAAAAATGCTATAGCTCGAGTATAAGGTACTGTCCCGGGGGCGGGTACTCGACCCCGTTTTGAATAGGTACGTSCCGCCAGTGGTCTAAATCCCTGACCCTGTTTAAGACACTAAGTGAAAATCCATACCCTGTTCAAGACAAATTGGAAAAATAAGGAATAGCTATCTGCGCCGCAACCATCAAAAGTGCAATTATACTGAAATCCATCAAAGACAATAAGAAATTTTTGATAGATTTTTGGTATTTCTACGGTATTTCTTATGAAAATATTACACAAAAAAAAATTATATCGGTCTTTTTTCTAAATTGTAGAGCCTGTTTAAGACAATTTCGGGTGAAATGTATATCCTGTTTAAGACAGCAAGGCCAAAAACCATACYCTGGCCAGCGGCACGTCCCCGTATAGCAAATATATGGGAGTACCCCCCCGGGGGTAATGTAAGATCCAGAAGTCACGTTCTATGAACTATGCCGCTCAAGATCTCACTGGCAGATACTTTCATTGATATCCTGTGTTTGGCGTATGATTTGATTACTTCAACCAAAATAATAAGTTKCACAGACAATAAAGAAACAGTTCCAGTCCGATTCCTGGAAGCTGGAAATTTATAGTTCCGAAAATAGAGCATCTCTTTTTCACTTCACCATAGAGCTTAGCACCCATGTCTCTTTTAATGAAAAATGACTTCTAGGAAGGCGTCTGGTGCACTTTAGATTAAGACTCACAGGAYAAGTTTGGAATTTAAAGATATTTTTAATGCAATAATTACTAACTAAAAATATCACACTAGCWTTATTCTTTTTCCTAGGTAAATAAAAAAGATTGGTGGTGCAGTGCTTTCTTATCGTGAAGCTGAAGGGAACGTTTTTGGCGCACTTGACTTCACATTAACAACTCATATGAACTCCAATATGCGTATTGTAGCTTTACGGCAGACGCATAAAATCTGGTTTATACGACGACATAAACGTAAGCATACGACATAAGCATAAGGGGAAAATATTTTTAGAAAGGTTTTTATTTGTTTGTTTGTTAAATAGCTTATGCTTAGCATTACGCTTATTGCTATGCTTATGTCGATGTGTTATGTCTTTGTATTTTCCTCTGTTCTCGTTTTAAGCTTACGCTTATGTCGTCGTGTGAACTTAAGCATAATTTTGAGGTCATTTGTGTCGCATACCGTCAAATCACGAGCAGCATATTGCAGTCATTATTTTTACGTTATACTTCAGCGCGTTTAAATGAAGTGTTAAGCTTTGTCACATTGTTATATTTCCAAGAATTTATCTTACACACATGCGCCTGGCTAGTTTTAATTGGAAACGTTATGATGACTTGGAGTCACGTGGGTATATAAGTTGTTATGGAAACTTCATGTTCGCTTTGTTTTCTTAGTCTTTCTTTTTCCTTTCTTTGTTGGTCTTTTTCCTTGCTTGACGCGAAGTTTATTCTTGATATAGCCCTTGTTGGACGTCTGTAAAAAAGTAGCGATAGTGATCTATTATTGGATGGGATTTGTCATGATACCGAAAATTATTCAGTGCAAAATACCCAAAATGAAGCCGCACTACAAAACATTTCTTCATGAACAATAAGCCTTTTGCATGAAACGGTCACATGGTACAAAATCCGCCATACTGGATGGCAAAAGAATGTAAACAACGTCAAAAACAAAAGGAACACAGCCTGTCAAGCTTGACTTTTCTTTGTTTTGAACATCCCAGTGGGTATTTTGCAATCCAGTATGGCGGATTKTGTACCATGTGACCGTTTCATGCAAAAGGCCTATTGCCTTGCTAATTATGGTAGAGTTTCAAAACATGTAGAGATGAAAGTGGTAGTTGATTCCAGGACTTTTTAAAGCACTTTTCAAGTCCAAAAGTTCAATTTTCAAGGTCCATTTTTTAACATCACGTATGATGTTTCGAGACTTCCAGCAAGAAAATTCTAAAAGTGTCTTCACTTGTCAATCAAGGAGTTTTCAAGGACTTTTATTTATTTTTTCCTATTTCCAAGGCTATTCCAACGGCCTTGAAAACGAGTTTTCAATTACAGGGCTTTGCAAGGATTTCAAAAAGTAGCCACGATCCCTGTGGCTGACTCCCCTTTATTTTTAGTCACAAAATTGATATGCCGAGACGAAAGATTCCTTTGCTGAAAGCCAGAAGTAATTCGCTCACAAAAGTAAACATTCCTCTTCCATTTCCWATACAGCTGGGAGTGAGACACAACTCACCTTTCTAGGTATATATCTTGAAGGTTTGATATTAGTTACTCGTTTACCCTTTCCACTTTTCTGTCTGTTAGCGAGATCTTTAACCCTTTGTACGGAATATAATTCAGAAGTTTAAAGAACTATGAACATTTGTTTACATATAAAACACACGGGGAAATGTTTGGGAGAATTTGAAACCTGAAGTGAAAAAGGCGGGAAAAAAATCGTTTCGCGCGCGTCCGTTACTAAGGTCCATTCCACTCGATAATGCCTTTTACATAAGTATTTGCAATTTTTAGTCTAATGTACATACATTTTCAGGTCCACACGTACTGGCATTCGCAGCATTTTCAGTTATGTYCACTAATAAAAAGTGTTTCAAAAATTTCCGGATATGCTACACAAGTTTTGATGAAAGCTGTATTCGTACAAGAAATTTGCGGATCCGAACATTTTGATCATCGTGTGGATGTTATCGCGCCTGATGCAAACACTAAAACTATGAACGTGCTAAATGAATTGTGCGAATTCCTTATTTTTTTTCTAAAATAACCAATTTACCATCAACAAAAACTTCAAAGTCATGCCGTTAGCGCATCCCAATGYTTCTTGCTTGAGTAAAATCTTGTAAAATCACGTGTTTTTACCTGTATATTCTAACAAGCCAATGTTCTGAWGTAAAGGCTTCTTCTATATGTTCTAGTTTAACATTCTTATTTCCAATCTCGACATTTCTTGTACGATCAAAACCAGACGGACTTCTGAAGTCAAGCTGGAAAAAAAAAGGCAAAGAACAATTTAAAAAATGAAGCAAAAGTACACAAAAAGAAACATAAGTCAGCAACATATAGTCAAAAAAGTCAAAAGAAAAATAAGTGCAAACTGGAAAAAATTGACAAAACAGAACCAAACAAGCAAATAAATAATTAATACAATAAAAAGAAAAGAGAGGAAATGAAAGCACTGGAGAAGTTTTATACTAAATAATTGCTCGGCTATGATAGAAAAATTATAAGTACTTATTGAATTTCTCGTGAAATACCCTGGATATCCATGATTTTTTTGAAGGATAATACACAGATTGGATAACTCACATTTCTTTTTACTAACCTGCATTTCACCAAATCGGTGGTAACACATTTTATACATCAGGCAGTTGAGCAAGATGGGTGAACCAGCAGCATCTACGCGAAACTCCCCTTGAGGTGTGAAGTAATCTGATTCCTGTGTAGATTGGTTCAGTATTAGCCATGAAAAAAATAGAATTTTACAGTGTTGTTGGGTTCTAATACATTGTATTTGCATGCCGATAACCATAATGCCTTTTACACAAAGCGATGAGCGTTGTTTAATCCCGAGGGGTGGGGACTCCGGGGTAAAAGTACCGGGGATG